GGATGCACTGGATTTCAACGTACATTGTACTTATGGTTCGGGTTGAATTGATATGTGTGTATACAGATCGCTGTGAATCTAAACTGTGATACCAAAATACAATGTGTCACTCCAGACTTTGTCTATGGGCCTGTTTGTTTCACAGGGATCTGGATCGCGATTAGTGATCTCAAAGCTGGTTCGCGCTATCCATTAGGCGGATTCTGGTGTCAGTGAATCAACGCTGAATCACTGATCGCGATCCGGATCCCTGCGAAACAAACACGGCCACAGCCATCTGCAAGAGTTGTACCTGTAACAAGTCACCAATTTTTGGGACTCCAGTCGAGTCAAGTCATTATCGTAGTGATTTGACTCGAGTCGAGCCATTAGACAAAAAAGCCGAGTCAAGTTTTTAGCTCGAGTCAATTCGAGTCACAAATAATATTTGAGCACAATACGATAAAAAAAATAGTGAGTTGTAGGTTTATTTAAATTTAGCTTTGGGTGACAGCATGTGGTCACACCATATCTTACACTTTATAGTAATAACATGAAAAATATAAACCGGCACTGAAAGTCATTGCTAGTACTTTTTTAGAAAGAAGTTGTTCTTTTTTTTTTGGGGGGGGGGGGGAATTGAGTATAATTTACTTTCACTTGAGTCGGGTCTTTTGATGAGGGGCTTGAGTCGAGTCATTTTCTCGCGGTGACTCGATTCATTTACCCATTAAGACTCGAGTAGAGTCGAGTAGCTAAAACCTGTGACTCCAGTCAGACTGGAGTCGAGTCACTGACTGGAGTCATTACAACTCTGGTCTTCGCGTGCGCAGTGCCCATAAAACAACTGATTTGATCTACCTAAAATTCCTAAGGCTAGTAAGGCACCCAAGGTAGGAAGTTTTTTAAGTTGCCCACTAATGAAAGATTACTAAAACATTAAAATAACCTGATTGAAAGTTTTCAAAAACTGGAGAAGTTCCATGCAGCGTAGCACAATAACAACAAAATAACAGAGAACAGCGCGTTCAAAATATTGCATGCATGGACAAACTTCTGAGCATAAGATCAATTTAAAAAATCAAAACTCACCTTCTACCAATCAGGTCAAGGCTTGCATTGGATACTGGTTATAAGAACGTGGATAAATGGAAATGCGCGGACAAATTGGATGCTTTCCTTAGATGTTTACGGGTCATTTTTTTGTTTCTCTGTATTTGTGCTGTTGTCAATGTTAGGTTTTCCTTTCTTTGCTTCAGTCAATCATCCTCTCCAGATGTGCACTCCAACAGCTGCTCTACGCCCACATGAAAAAATCAACAAGTTTGCTCAACGAACGACCCGGACGAAAAAATCATCCTTCGGCAACGAGAAAAAATTCATTATATAACCATCCATACAATAAATTCAACAAATTTACAAATTAACTCCTAAATACAATCTGGAATATAAAGCTTTTGCGCATATATATACACACATTAAATCCTTTTATGGCTATGAAACAATTATGAAATCAAGGACAATTTTAACACGAAAAATACTTGCTGTGAGCCTACAGCGTAAAGGAAAAGATGCCGTTCGCTCTCCAGTGAAAACAAAAAATTTTTTTTCAAGGCAAAATTTAACGAAGAAACAAACTTCAGCCATGCAGAAGTCGGCTTTGGCTCGACATACGCTGAAGCTGCATCCTTTGTAGTTAGCTTTCCGGCTACAACCAAGGATGATTAGGTCCACCCCTCACGTATTAAAGAAAATAAAATATAATCAGCCAGATCTTGCAAAAGATGGACATATGGGTAAAATTCGATTCGACCATGTCAAAGAAAGATACCGACGGGAATTTTTGGGGCAGGAGTTTCCCTGCTCCTTTCAGTGGCCATGGACACTAAAATTGTGCCCCTGTTCATACCGGGGTGGCATACATGGGTACCGGGTACCCTTCCGCACGCATTAAGGCAGCCTACACAGGCACCGAATGAATAGATGACGTGTTCGGATGCTGGGAAATAAACGAACACTCTAAGCAGAGTATACGCGCTGATAGGAATTCCAGGAAAGTGTCCATTACATTCACCCGTAAGACTATCATATGTCCGAATGGACAAGGGACATTGAAATCCCCCTCGATGACAAGATAGACAACGATGCAAGTCCATTGAAAGAAGTAATTCTGCTCTGCGTCGACTCTAACAAGCCACATGGAAGAATAAAAAAAAGCAGAGAACCACGATTTGCCCATGTATCTCAAAGTCTATCGACAAAAATACACGTACAGATATGAAATGAATGCTTATAATTAAATGGCCGATAAACCGCAATTTTACCCATTTGTGGAATTGTCGTTTACCTCTTTCCCGCATGTCACAGTTGAGGAACCCGACAGAAGAGGAGCAAGTTGTTTCTCCACTACCCGTATGAATTAGCACTTACACATCACCCACTTAACAATATATAGCACACTTCGGAATGCGAACCTTTCAACCCGAGACCAGGACACGAAGTGACAATCATGTCTTCTTAATACTGAAGCCAACACTGACGTTCTTAAAGCTGTCTAGAATATACTGTATATCCAAGAGCAAGTTTTCAACATCCTACATTCCTTCGTAAAAATAGAATCGCAGCTAGACTATCAATTCACTAAATATCTGGCATATCACAGGGCACAAACAAACACATAATTTCGTGGATTCTATTATCGGTGTGGATTTTTAAACGCTAGAACTATTGAAATATTTAACTACAAAAATCTACATTTAACTGTAATGAATCTCACAACTGCTATGAAAAACAAAGTCCACTACTTTTGAACTAGAAATATTATTTTATAAGGACCTACTAAACTAAAATGCAGGTCTGTCTTCTTGACCCTGCTGAGTCAGGGTTCCTGCACCTAAAGAACAATTAAATTCCATGACTTTTCTATGACTTTTCCTTGACCAAATTAAGAAAATCTACGACCAAATAACGCAATTTCTTGGACTATTCGACCTTTTAGGTTGCAAATGCAATCACAGATTTTATCGCTTATTTCTGATAACAGAAATCACAGTGTTTTATGACTTCCATGACAAAAGTCCATGACTTTTCCTTGACTTTATAGTCATTGTCACAAAATTCCATGACTTTTCCAGGCCTGAGAAAAGAAAAACAAAATTCCATGATTTTTCCAGGCCGCAGGAACCCTGTGAGTGTACTGACAGATTCGTTTGAAGAAAGACCTTCCAGAGACTGCAAAAAAACATATCCTGAGATAGCAAAACAGTCGCGTCCCACCTTAATAATAAGGTTGTGGTACCAGACAAATATTCCTGTTTAAAGGAGTAGAAAAAAACCCAAAGAACACAAGAATTCAAGAGAGTGAAAGTTGGGCCCCGCAAAATTTGTTCTTTGTAACCCCATTCTGTGCTCTTTATATCGAATGGCGACACGAATGGGTACCAGCATCAGCCAGGAAAAAGACCCAAGGAACCCCATCCTGGAGGAAGTGGTATAGCCTAGGTTGATTCATGCAGAGAACAATACCAACACCAGCAACAGCCCGATGGCCCTACTTGCTGAGAACAAAAGCCTTACCTTTTTTTGTCTTTTCCTGGAAGCAGGCAACTTTACGACCCCTAGCAGCCCATTGGCACAAACGAAGCCTAATGGTAACACAGCATCAGTATAGCGCAGTGTGAATTACAATTTGTCAAAGTGCTTCACAATACCAAAGGCAGTATGCAGTAGGCCAGACCAGCTGTTGAATTAATGAAAAATAGTTTTGTCCAACTTGCACCTGCTGTCAAAACAATATGACACGGCAGTGTTGGCGTCCAGTCCATGACCGTGGAGGCCAAGACCAAGTCTGAGTCACCACCATTCAAGGCCGAAGCCAAGGTTGCAGGGCTCAATTTATTTATTCATTGCAACAAAATATGATGAGTCCCCCCGTCACCATGGAAAAAAGAGAAAAACATAAAAGCTAAATTTCTCTCCATATTTGCCCTCAAATTGCAAGTTCTATTTCACGATAAAATTTTGAGAAAAAAATTTACAGGGGAGAATCGAGTCAAAAATGGGTGGTCTAGAACTGGCCTCAACTGATTCTTTGACTTAGATGGTATCAAGACTGAGTAAATAGTGAGGCCGAGGCCAAAGTTTCAAAAATCGGCCTTGAAATTGGCCTGCACAGTGGCACTGACCGATATATAAATTTTCCCACAATACAGACCAAAAGGTCCTAAATGAGTTGCATCGCACAATTCAGAGATGAAAGGAAACATCACCGAGTTGCCTTGCATTGTACAACTAAGAGATGAAAGA